GCTAGCAACACTTCACAGTTTTGCAGACGAGAAGCTAAAATATGGAATTCTGTAATGGTATCGTTTCTCTCTGCCACACGAAGCGTCATACAATTACTGCCGTATTTAGGTCAACTCCAGGAACAATAANNCAATAATATTGAAGACCGCCCATATAATTATTATTATATTTATCCGATATTTGATGAGGTAATAAATGAAATAAGGCTTGATAAATATTCTGCTTTAATTTTTATTAAATATGTTTATATTCAGATGATATATATATATATCGAATGAATATATTTTTTCGATGAATGATTAATTCTATAAGATTTTTTTCATATTTATGAAAAAAGAAATATATTTTAAATAATTATTTATTCTACGAAAAATTTATACAATATTCAATTTATCGGAATTATAATTTATTAATTTCTTTTTGATTTATATATTATCGTTATTTTCTTTTATTTATTAAGATGCTTTGTATTTTCTTGATATTTCATAATATAAAATAATACTTTAATATAATCTTCCACCCTCCTCGAATCGATTATTCGCCCCGTTTGTTTTTAGAATATTCTTCTTGATATATTTTTTCATTCTTATTCTACGATATTCGTTATTTAAAGATCCGTATATTTTGTTGCTCTATCTTCTATTCTCTATATGGTCTATTCTCCACGAATTCCCCGCATTGCACTTCTATTCGCCGAAATTTCTCTAAATAAATTTCCTATTGCCTTAGAATTTTATTAGCCATGCCCTCCACGCACAAATCTTCGCTCATTATTCTGCGAGATCTATATATATTAAAAAAAATTAATAATATAAATGATGGATTTCGATCGAAATTTAATCTTTCTATAAATTATTATATAATATTATGTAAGAATATATAAATATCTAATTTTATGATTTCATATAATTTTTTGTTATCAATATAATCTATGCATTGATATATTTATTTTATCATATATATATATTAAATATATATGATATCTCTCATCGATATTTCCGTCTCCCTGATTTATTCATTTTTAGATCTAATTTAATAATCATCATCTAGATTAGAAAAAATATTGAATTATGATTCTATTAATATATTGTTGTCGCTCATATTCAGATATTATATCAGAATTATGTCAATATTCGTCATCAAGGAGAAAAAATTATTATATTTTGTAAAGAGAAGAAGCAGACATAGATAAGATATTAGAGAATATTCTTTATATTAAATTATTCTATTGGATTTGCAGGATCTTCATAATAATCTTTAATTTATGATCAGAATTTGCAATCGTATCTTATTATCTCGTTGATATATGTGAGATTCCTCAGCAAAATTGATAAATATAAAAGATATTTCTTATATTATGATACTATTTAAATTTAAAGCGAAATTTTTTCATATAACGATCTGAATAATTAGCAATAATTCTTCTGAATATTGTTCATATTAATATTTTAGAATCAAATTATTATATTATATTCTATAATTGTTGTCTTCGATCATGGAATATTATATTGAGATATCTCGTAGCTTATATCAGAATCTTACGCAAGATTCTTCGATCTCAATAATGACTAGATAGATCCCAATATGGAATCTTTTCTTATCCAGAATCTCTATATTCCGATTATCTTTATTACTTCTGGACAGATATTAGATAAAGACGAACAGATTTCGAAAAAAAATTAAAATTCCTACAATATTTGGAGATATATCATATAAAAAATAAGATCCTTCTTTAAGAATCAATTGGTCTTTTAGGAATTCAAGCATCCTAAAGATTCTTATCTCTAGATAAGATAATATATATATATATGATTATATTAGTCTTGAAATAGATATCTGGATAAAGATTATTTAATATCAAAATAATTTGTATTTGATTGAAAAAATTTTGAAGATTCAATTATTTATGGATTATATTTGGAGATTTAGCTCATCTAAATTAGAGCTATGAATAATAAGATTCTATATAATATGAGAGTAAATATATCATTCTAGATTTCATTCTATATTTTATTTATCCTTATATAAATTGACCGTATTAAATAATATATATATATAATATCGTTTTACTCTATCACCTTACGAAGACCATCTTAGAGAGCAAATAACAATCGCTTCTCCATCATCAAATAAGATCAAGAAAATCTATTCTAAAATCATATTTCGAATAAATTCTATATAACCCGAATAAATACTAGAAGAAGGTATATGAGAATCCAATCGTTTGCTTTTTTCCCCTCGGACCTTTTTCCGAATAGTATCTACGAAATAATGTTTATAGTGTATCCGATTCAAATTAAACTATATCGTCGATAATCCCATACCTTAAAAAATCCTAAATCCTAAATTCCCGACCACGCGAAACCCCGAACCCTAAAAAAAATAGAAATTAATCATTCCGGAAGAAATTATCTTCAATTTACTCATCAATTCAAACAAAATCGAATCGATTTAATTTAAACGAATTCTCCGCGGAATTCTCCAAGTCAAATTTTAATTTCTTAATATATTTCATATAAATAAAAAATAGAAATATTTCTACTTCTAAATGCACAAAAATATAAATAATTCCTTAAGATTTATATAAATTGTTTTTCTAAGATCCGATATAAAAAATTACCAAAATAAATAAAAATATATGGTCGCGATTCTCGATCCTCCTCCTCCCTGTCATAATCCATAATACCATCCCCATCTCCCCAAGAATCGTATTCCCAAAAGCATAACTACGGCATTTTTTTGAATTTAAAAATCAAAATAAAGAGAAAAATTTATAAAATTTAGAATCGACAAGAATTTAAAAAGAGTTTGAAATAGAAATTAATTAAATCAAATTTTATATTTTACTTCATATTTATATCTTAGATTTCATTTAGGTAATATAAATTAAAATGAATAAATCAAAAAATACGTCATATTAAGATTTTTATTTATTTCAAATTCATATAAAATCTTAGACCTCCGTAAGTCTTAGCCGTCCCATCCAAGTGGCCAGGCCGCTCTCTACACACGCCACAGCCCCCCCCCACCCCCCCCGCTACCTCCCACGCCTGCCAGACCACACCATTAAGACGGGGGGGGTCTTATATGAGTCACAAAATACAAGTATATTGTATATATTTTTTTTTAAAAAGAGAAATATGTATATATATATATTATATTTATTTATTTACTTATTTAGATATAAATAAGAATAACAAAAAAAATAACAATTCTATATTATAGATAGAAAAACAAATTGAAATGGATATTCCAGTCAACACCCAGAATATGTGTATGCCATGTCCGTCCTGTCCGAGCCAAAACAGTGGTTGTGCTTTTTCTTCGCACCATGGTCGCTTCGCTCCACCATCGCGTGCCTTGGTGGAAGTGTAGTTGTGTAGTTGCTTGTAAGAAGTTGCATCTATCGGCGCCAGGGCCCTGGCTGTCGTTTCAGGACCCATTGCAGAGTCTCGGCTGCCTGGTGCAAGGTTTCAGATCAGCGCATGTTTCGGCTCACGTGTTTTCAGGCTTACATGCATCCCTCAGGGCCATGATTGCGAAAGTGCGAGATTTGCAGTAATCGTGTGGAAGCTTTCCACATGCCACCTTGCAATGACTTGCCAAACTCGCCTGTTCAAAGAACGATAACATCGACTCAAACTAAGGAATCAGGTTGTGGCCTGTAGGCAATCGCGCGCCACCTCCTGGAAAGGGGGAATTGAACGACAGCTCAGAAGCTAGCAGTTCCTAAAATCTCACGAGCCAAAGCCTTCAAACCCCTCACATCCTTCACGCGAAACCTCCTAGCCATCCTCCCACCTTGTGCGTGCTGCCATAGCGCTGTGCATGTGACCAAGCGAGAGGAAAATGATTCGAACTTCTGCGACTCTCCGTGGGGCTGAGCCGCTGGCCCCGAGCTCAGCAAAACTCAAGTCTGCCAGTACCTTCACAACCAGAACAGACCGAATTTCTGTGGAAGCCTGCAGGGGCTAAGGGATCTGTTACAGACCTGGCTGTTGTTTAGGCAAACAGCGTGAGACCTTTCAGAGCTTCTCTGTTCTTTCTCTTTCTCGTTATCAGCCCGGCATCGCCTTGCACATCCTTGTACGCATCTCTCTTTTCCTCTCTGGCCTCGCATCTGCTCTCTCTCCTCCGTGGTGTTCACGGGCGGGGAGCACCGTTGGGGCTGCCGCGGCCGACAGCAGGCGTTCCCTGCACAGACTCTGAGGCTCTGAGGGTTTTGAAAGGTGCTGGGGACTCGAACTATAGGTGAATCAAGATGCTTTGGAGGCTGTCGGAGTTTCAGAGTCCTTTCCAACTTTTTTTGGGGGGTCACGGCCTGCTCCCTAGAGGCAAAGGGAGCTTGGTTGGATACGAGAGCAAAGCAGCACAATCTGGGCCTCTCTGTCTGTGGCATGAGCAGATAAGTTAGAGAACAATTTGCAACCGGCCGTAGACTAAAGAATAACCCGGCTATCGAGGGCGAGGGTGCTAGCTCCTCTGACCGAGCAGGCACGTTCGGTCCACCGTGAACGAACATGAAGCATCAAACGATCCAAAACTGAAGATGTCTGAGCAGTGAAACGGAGTCTAGGCAGGAGGCGACTGGTGCTCACACATCCGTAGTCAGCACTGACCGTCTCGGATTCAAGGAATCGCAGATCACTACGCCTGCTGAGACGAAATGCCGCTGATGGCGCAGGTCGAAGTCTTTGTGCAATCTGGCAAGCTAGGGCCCGTGCAGCCGCACGGCTTCTGAGGGTCTACCCGCTTCCTGCGAGTCACAGCGCTAAGGCAGTGATTCCCTACGACATTCAGTCCAGCGCTGCAGAACATGGCAAGGACCATGATACGTGGAACACTTTGTGCGAGATGCTCACTCTTTGAAAGCTTGGAGGATAGTCTCGAGTGGTGCTAGCTCCTGCACGGCCACATCATCAACTCAACATCTAACCTGGAAGCCTTCACATCGGCATCATGACCAGAAGCACATACAGTGTCCGGGACTCCGAATTCTACCTTCAGACCCCGCGCACCGCAAGCGGTGCTTGCTGCAGCTTCCCGGTAGTCTTTGCGGGAAGTGCTGCAACCGACTGCCTCGACAGGAGGCAAAGCACATGGTACCAGAAGATCGTATGTGCCAACAAGAATGAGGATTTGAAGCGTGGGGTTTCTGTCCCCGGCTCCGCAAAGCATGAGCCGTCTGAGCCGTTCTACTGCCGCAGCAACGGTAGCAGTCGCAGCATCTGGACGGGTTTCCAGCAGCAGTAGCAACAGCAGTGCTGGTGATTGTGATGGTGCTGTAGGTAGCCGTGGCAGGCAGCAGTCGGAAAGGGCCACAGCAGTCATGGACCATGGGTTATCGTTGACATCCATTGTCGAGAGCAAGCCGTCGCAACTGCGTCCGTTGGCTGTTCACCCGGATGTACGTTCATGGCCCGTGTAACAAAGCAAAAGAACCTAATGACAGGGGCCTGTTGATGCATTTCGGAAGTAGGTGTAGTATCCTTCCCCTGCCTCATTTAAATTTTGTGGGAGTGCATTTGAAGCCTTCTCTTGTGTTTCCTACCGGTCCAATCTCCCAAAAGCGAGCAAGTGTCGTGAGTGCCGCGACGCTCCACCGATGCAACCTATCGCAACATTGCTGTCCGATTGAAGTGCCATGTCTCGACTCAAGCGGATGCCACACCCACCCCAAAAATCAACCAGCTCTTCAGACCATCCGAACCATGCAATGCTCACACACCTCCTATCGAGCCCAGCCCAAATCCGCAGTGCCCCCGGGCTTCGACTCGAAGCTCTGGAGCGCTGCATTTCGCATGTGCCGCATGAGGAAAAGGGGAAGCCTCAAATATGATTCGCTGTGCCTCTCCACGTCGGAACCGCGTGAGAGAGCCCTCTGCGAACCATCATACCGATCATATGTCAATATATGCAGTGTTGATACCACGATCCTGCATGTACATATTCACAGGCCACTGCTTGCAGTAGGTTCCTGCCACGCTCGCTGACGTGGAAGCTTTGCCATCGTTGTGGAGAGATCGGAGAGTGGCGTGTGTGAAGAACGGCCATGCTACAGCCAGCTTTCAAAGTCCTGGTTCCGGTTCGGGCGATCCCAACCGTGACGGTATGCATTAACCGTTGCGTTGCGTTCCAGCCTGAGCAACATCCAGCGATGTTGGAACAAGGGTTCACCGGCTTCGTCTTTCAGAAACCGCACGTTGTTCCGTTAGCCGTGCAAGTAATATGTAGCATCTTGTTAACTGTTAAAGCATCTCGATGTCGAGACTTTCAGTTCGTGCAACTAATCTCGATTCAGACTTTCAAGTCTTGCGAAGTCTTGGTAGATCTGAGTAGAACCGACAGCATCTTGGCATTCCTGCTTCCGACGTTCCAGGTTCCCGGCAGGTGGCCCACAAGCTGGAGAGTACTCTCTTCCACCCGGTCGCTGAGGTGGCGGTCGTGAAATTACAGGTCTTGCCGTCTTGCCCTCTGGCAACGGAAATCGCAAGATATTCGTGGACTCAGGTCCGTGGCCCACATGTCTTCCGGTACTGCAACCCCACTGCAGTTCAGCCTCCAAGGAACGACATCCACGCCAGCCCTTAAGTGAGGGAAGAACGATGAAGAACCGTGATCTTGAGACGCATGCGAACAAAGCAGGGACAATGCCTTGCCACCTGGACAAGGGAGCCACGCCCTACTGTAAATCCCAATTTGACCCTCCCCGTGAATCAAGCAAGTCCGCCTTTCTTGAGAGGAGTCGCTTGTACCTCTGCGGAGGTCTCTGAAGCTCTCTGTCGATCACGAATTAGTTCTAACTTACCAACAGTGCCGCGCACTGCAATTCAACTGCTCCGGCCTCCCCAGAATTCTTCGGCCGTAAGCTCGTGATCTTCCGGACGGTACGGCTCCTGAATGTCTGACCGAACTTAAGACTAACCGAACTTAAGACTAAACACTTTACGCTTCACTCACCAGCAATTGCACGTGTCAATCCTGACGACAGACGCGCTGCTTTACGGGTGCATCTAAAGCATTGATCCTGTCCTGAAGACAGGCATTCTCAAGAAGCCGACCAGCATCGACTAACTGTGAAGCATCGAAAGCCTCACAAATCTTGTCAACAGTGTTCGAAGTGAAGACCGTCTGCGAATGGAAGCTGTGCAAGCTGCTGACAAAATGGATGAGACTTTTGCCGGCAAGCCTGCGAACTGGGTTGGGATGGCTGCGACATCTCGAGCACCGCCTGGGCACACACACACACAGACAGAAACCGCGCTACAGTCTCGTTGACCTGCCATGACAAGAAGCAACCTCGCAACGTCTTCTGTTGTAGACCGACTTGTGCTACGAGTATCTGTGCCTGGAGTCTTGCACGGGACCCTCCGCGCTCCTGTCGCTTCTGCGGCTGCTCTGGCATCGTGGAGGCGGCTTCCAAGGGCCCCTGGCAATTCACAATCTGTGAAGAACGTGGGAAGCTTACGAGTAGCACGTAGATCGCTCTGTGCTTATCCTCACGACCTAGCGCAAGCGAGAAATGGTGCTTGTGTTCGGGGACTGCTCTTCCAGCCATCTCGGTGGTACCTTTGCCGCCTCGTGCAACGGAGTAATTCAGCCCAAAATAGATACCTGTGAATGAGCACAGCTGCGAATGAGCCACCGACATTGCCGTCATCATGCCCTCCCCTCAACCTGACTTCCGAAATCGTGGAGGAACCCTGGACCTCGTGGCCTTATTGGTGGCAGCTGGAACTTCCATGACCAGCGGCGCTTCAACCGCTTCCTCCTCACGGTGGCTGAAGGCTGCAAGAAACGTTTTGCGTCAAACTGGCAAACATACTCGGCTGATCTGGACTCTGTGCAGGGAACCTTGGCGCAGCTTGATCACGGACAAACGCATCTTTTTGTGTGTTGGATTTGGAATGCTGCTACTCATCACAACATGTCAGCATCGCCACGACGGATTCTGTGTCTCTCTTGTTTTGGGAAGAGTCAGTGCATCGATCGCAATCTAACCCACTCAGTGACGATCAGCTCCAGGCATGAGCGCCCCAATTCTGAGATTGCGTTACCATCTTCCGGGCAGAGCATTGCGGTCATTAGCTTGAACTTGTGGGGATCTCGAATGTCGAGGGATGCTTCGTCAAGATTCCGGCGAGGGAGTTTCGACTGGAACCCCTTATATAACCGCTGCTCAAAGCGCCCCAAGACACAGAAACCGGAAAGGCAGTGCCTCGGAAGAGAAGCCAGCCCACATCTCCTCGAGTCTGCCGACTGCTGCGTCTACCGAAGGAACGGGATATTGCGGCTTCTCGGGCGCTGCTAGAGAAGACTTGTCTCGCTTGTGGAAGTGCGCACATAGAAGTAATGCAGAAGCTTGTGCTATTCCCGCTTTTTCGTGTGGTCCGAGAGGAGGGGGAGGAGGGAGAAAGCTCCCTAAAGCTGCGGCAGATGCAGGAAGCAGGCATGAGACGTGAGGTGGCGATGAACACAGACACACACACGCACACACACACACACAAGAGTCTGGTACAACAGCTGAGTGCAGAGTGGAATGATGAATAGCACTGCCAAGCCATAGACCATAGTTGAGACAAGAAGTCCTGACGCAACACTCCCCGGCTCCTCCTGAGTCAGCACGTGGTCCTCAGGCCGATATGGCTCGCTCAGAACTGCATCACGCATCTGCCTGGCAGGCAGGGAGGGAGAGGGAGAGAGCTTGAAGATCCAACCCTCCATGCATCTCCAGCGCTCTTGCACTGGAACTAGGAGCTCGGACAAACTAGACGGAAGATGAGGGAGCGAAATTTTCAGCAGCCGCTCCCATTTACGGACGGAACATGAAAGTCAGCAATCATTCTTGGGTTTCCGTGAATGTCTACGAAGGGCCGATGGAGATGTCGGCTTCGCGGAAGGGAGTCGCAAACAATGATGCAACAGCCGAAGCACAGTGGGCACCTGAGGTCGTCGTGCGGGCCAGGCACGAAGCCTTCGCGTCAAGCAAGGATCAGGGACGAGATTGTCTTGTGCCCAGCATCTGGCAGGTTCATACAGTGTGAAGAAGGTCGAAGAGACAATGTCAGCAACCATCCCCTCCTTGTTCAGCTGCTCCCAGGACTCTATCCTCAGATGCAACATCCGTGCTGCTCGCTGCAGCCGCGCTGGCTGCGCCCCTCTGCTGCAGATCTGCCTGTGCAGGCAAGAAAAAAATCACAAAAACCGCGGCGAACCTGGCTACTGAACTGCCTAGGATGCTAGCACTTCCGCGAAAGCGAGGGCATCTCTCAGAATTGTTCAGAGACGGCCTTTCGCAGCCTTGGAAGCCGAGAAGAGTAAGTGTCACAGAGAGCACCGTCACTCGATTTAGAAGCTTTGGGATTCCTCGGCGTAAGTCTCCGATGCGACACAGCGGGCACGGCGGTTGCCCTTCTGTTTGGAGGTGATGCCGGAGGGAGGGATGCGGCCGCTGTGGGGTTGCAGGACGGGCGGAAGTTGAGAGGCTGCACGGTGTACCCCATGTTGTGTCATCGAGGTCAAGGACCTGAACCTTGGGATGTCTCCTTGTCGGCCCTTGGTGCTAGTTCGGTGACTGGTGTGCTTTCACACTCACGACGAAGTTTGTGTAAAAGAAACTTGGAAGTAGTAGCTTGGCAGTGAGCAGGCATCTGTAGGATGTAGAGAGGGTAGAGTGTCACGGAGAGCGCCGTTACTGGGTTTTAGAAGTCTTGGGATTCCTTGGCGCAGTTCTCCGATGCGACCCGCAGGTCTCCGACCCGCAGGTCTCGCATCGCTTTCTGACGGCTGTCTGTACTCACGTCTCAAGGAGAAAGGGCTGCTTCGAAACTCACCAGTCCTCTGGTATGGGCAGTAGTTGCCCAGCCCGGAAAATGCAGTAGCAAGATGTACCTTTCAGAACATCGCACAAAATTGTGATGGGGAGCCAGGGGGGCGTTCAGGCGACCCGGCATTATTCCGGATAGGAACCATTCGTACTGCCGGGCTGCCTCCTGCTTCCCTTTTAAAATGAATGAAAAGCCACACCTCTATTAATTCATTGAGTCCTATGCATGACGAATTACCCGACCCACAGCATTGCTCCGAGAAGCAAAGCCAATGTAGCCGTCAGCATGCTGGTGCTACTTGTCTCATCGTCGTGGTCATGGTCATGGTCATGTCCATGCCCGTGGCCCTCTGGTGCGCACGCCATGGAGGACGGCAGCGCCAAGGCAGCCCGTGATGCAGGAGCGAAAGACAACGACGTGCTCGACACCGCATGGTCTGCGTGGCCCCCAAGAACCTCTGCAAGGTCGACCGTGAGAAGACGTGGACTGACGCCACCTGCAACTATGTGCACCACACCATGGCCGGCAACCATGGCAGTATCAGCACAGTCGATCGCATTATCAAAAACGGAGGCAACAGCCGTAGTTCCAGCAACATTGCCGTCCACTTCCGCCACTGACAGACTCCCATCCTTAGTCAACACAGCCACGTGTGTTCCGTCGTCTGCGACCGCTTGGTCCACGGCCCAGTGGCACACGTCGTTCTCCGATGTGCTGCGAGTTACTTCCAACAAGCTCCCAGCAGCCACCGACCCCGTGGGAGAAATCGGAGCCACATATCTTGGAGCCGGAAGTCCAAGCGGGTAGAGGTCAGCAAGGAAAAGGCTGCCTGGCGCGTATTTTCTCACGGTTCCAGACCGATACTCCAGCGATGCGTTCGGTTTGGGAAATGCCACTCTCTCCCATGATACAGGTTCACTGGCTTGACCTGTATAGGTCCCGCGCAACCACCCACCTGATCCGCAGCCTGTGACAAAAGTATTGCCGATTTTTGCGGCGCCATGAAATGCAGGACAGCTGGGCGACGACTCACTGCCAATCTCTTGCAGCACTGCACCTGCGGCACTTGCCACAGCAAAGCTGCCTGGCAGCGATGACGTGCCATCCACCCTCATCTTCCTTGCATCCGTTGACACTGACATGACAAAGTGGTTGTCGCTGAGTGCATACGAAACTCCATGGTGAGCTCCATCGATGGGCACTTCGACTACAACTGGCGTGGTGGACAAACTGGACTCTTTCACGAACACTGCCGATGAGTTGTGCATGTCTTCGGATAGATCTGAAGACCAAACACCATCCATGAACACGTTCACATAGCCAGCTGAGTATGTAGTATGCGTCGGTTTCCAACCCGTCAAGGTGTAGTCATGCGCTCTTGGGGTGCTTTTGACAACATCCACATGATCACCGTGGTCATCCGCAGACAATCCTGGACTGTAGAAATGCACCGAGCCCTGTGCGCTAGAACCACGATCAATCGCAATAACTGTGGCCATGTCTGTGTCCGTTGCCATCAGACGTGCTCCTGCTATTGGCGCGTCGAGGCTTGCCACAACTACCCCATCGGCGTCATCAAGGTCAAGGACGTGAACCTTGGATGCATCCTTGTCGGCAACAAAGAGCCTCCCCTTCGTGCAAGTCTGGTGTGCTTTCACAGTCAGGAAGCTTAGCCAAAGCAAAACGACTCTGGCCATGGCTGTGCTTGGAGAGTCAAAGCGGCTAAGGGCACCCGAGTGAAAGTCTGAAGGAGACTTGAATGCTCGGAGCCACATCACCAGGAGCGGTATCCGCCTCTCATCCCCTCATCCGCCCATCGGAACCGGGGGATGCCCAAACCGTGTCACAAAATTTACACGGAAAATGTCGGTGCCTGGCCGGCGTCGTCCAGTTGCGCCAAGCGCGCCTCCAGCGCCTCTGGAAACCAGCAAAGTAGCGGAAGCGGAATCCAGCTTTGGGCCCTCGACGCCCTCGACATGTACAAAGGTAGCTCGCTACAGAACTAATCCTGTCGGCGAGTATTTCTACCTGTCGTCTACGACGTTCGCCGCAAGCGTCTCGGTCGAAGCTTACGTGCAGAGTGCTGTATAAATGCACTTTGAAAGAGCAGGATCTCGATGGGAACTTTCCAGGTGGGAGATAATTCTTGCTATCAAGCTGCTCGCATGGAGTCGCGCTCCAGGTTGTCCCAATCCTGGTGATCCAACGAGAGACAGTTCAGAAGAGCTTTTGTTCCCCCTCTTCAGATCCCAATAGCTTCAGATCCCAATTGCTTCACCTGTTTCGCCTCCTCTTCCGTCGGGCTCTTTGTGTCTGAGACTCATGCGAGCAACCAGGCCTGTCCTGCTCATAGTCTGATGAAGACTCGCCGTCGGACATCGCACACAAGGCTACTGCAGGCAAGCTAAAAGCTTCGCGGTGTTACGGGATACAGCGCAGCTTGTCGGGTGTCGGACACCTGAATCAGCTTCACTGCGCTCCGGTGGCATCCAAAGTGCCGGGGGCAAGTAAAATTCTACTCGACACAAAGCGCTCAGAAGCAAGCCCAAACTGCTTTTTCATGATGGCTTGACCTCGCCTAGATGATCGGGATTACAAAACCACAAGAAGACCAGTTCGTTGCAGTTCTCTGGTCCACACACTCTGGGAGGTTGCAGCTTCGAGCTCGGCAGAAGCAACACGCACCAAGGCGCAGTGCACCGGGCACAACTCAAACCCGTCGACAGTAGACATGCACAGAAAAAGATGTCGGCGTTCCTCGCCAACGCGCAGTGACAGCGCTGTCCGGTGAACACCGTTTATGATGGAACTTGCATCTTCTCAGGGTTGTTGCTGAATTTTCGCTTTGAGAAGGCTCTGCTACCGATGTTGCGACTGTTCGGGAGTTGCAAACCTTGCCTGCAGCCGACACCAGCAAAAGACCTCAACGCGAAAACTTGTTTCCGACGCCCCAAACCCCAAAAGCAGATGTTGGTGAGCCAACCCAAACCGCAAGAAGATGTGCTGGGGAGCCATTCCAAATGCTAGGGAGCCAAACCCAAACGAAGGAAATGTTGGGGAGCAAATTCCAAACCGCACAGGGGTATGTTGGCTAATCCAAATATTGAAAGGAAATGTTGGGGAGCCAACCCACAAAAACTTAAAAAGGAAGAGCGCTGACTAACAGCCGAAGAAAAAGGGTGTAATAAACACCGAAGAGCAAAAGGGCAAGAGCGATCGGGAAGCCTCGGAATACCCTGCTTGCCTGTGCACTAGCACTCACCGGCTTCGTGAGAACTCTTCTACCCTTTGGATAGCATAGGAAGCACGTGCCACATCTCCATGAAAATCGTCACAGGGGAATCCAAGGAGTCTAAGCCACAAAGCAAACTCCAACTGAAATTGTGCTCTGGAGAAAGGAGAAACCTCAACGTGACTATGCTTGGTGTGGGCGGCCGTAATTATACACTAGTTTCCGTCATATCCCCGAAGCTTCTGCTGTGCGTACCCAGGCTTTCAACATGGAGATGTTGGTGAGCAAACCTCAAACCAAGAATGTGTTGACAAATCCAAACCCTAGAAAAGGAGATGTCGTTCAGCAAACCCTAACGCTCTAACCTAACGCGTAAGAGGATATGCGGCAAACCCAAACCCTTAGAGCAGATGGTGGGAATCTCCCATACCGTAAAATCAGGTGCATGGCCGAGCAGGATGTTGCCAGGCCGTGCACTGGTGGTAGTGGCGTCGTCGCAGCTGGTAGTGGCGTGCGGCTCTTTGCTGTGGAACTTGTGCATCTGAAAAGTTGACTTGTCTGACCCCTGCCGCTGTCTGTCAACGCCAAGATGGATTTGAAGCCAGAGCGAGTCCGGGGCTGGCATGGCTGGCAGGACGCTTTGGGTCTTGAGGCGCTGAGGGATCAGAGAGGAGAGTCTGGACCGGTTTGGGTTTAGAGCGTCAGGTTCGAGGGCGTACTGCTCCAAAAGGGATTAGATGCACGAGCAGAGTTTGGACTGTGTTGGGTTCAGGGTTTCAAAGTGGGGTGAAGGTTTATCATCCGCCCATCCACCCTTCACCTCTTGAAACCTGCACAGCCCTTGCGGTCACGGGTGACGCCGCCAGCAGGAAGCTTGGTCCCGTTTTTTGTGCCTGGCGCTTGGCGCAGTGACAACTTCTGGAGCCAGTGCCTTTCAGGCATAGGCCACTGAGTGACACACGGCATGTCAATTGTAGTACTATCATGCTCCAGCATAACCTCCGGCTGTGATACATAAACGGTGGTATCAATACGTAAATATACGGAAATCTCCTTATCGATCCGAAACCAGAGGCTGCTAGATGAAGTCTGGGTCCCTGTGATTTGGGGTTCGCTCCATGGCCCCCATTTTCCGGGGTCTCCCAGCCTAAGGCCCTGGGGGAGCCATGAGATGAAGCCCTTTCAGAACCCACTTCAGAAGCATTTCTCCCACAAGGGAGGTCACCCTAGACTCTACATGGGCCGCACGCAGCTCACAACTGGATCGCGGTGAAACGGCTGCTGAATTAATACCGCCTCGGCCAGACAAGTGGAATCTTTGTCCTCGCTGACGTGCCAAGAAAACAACATCTCTATCTCACTCTGATTTTTACTTCAAAGCCTCAAAGCCTCCCCATGCCCTTGGGCTGTGACAGTGGGGACAACTTCAGGAGCTCCTGGCGGCATCAATTGATGTTGAAACTGCTGTCGCAAGCCTGGTGATGTGCTCAGCAAACTCGGCCTCTGCAGCTCCAGACAGTCTTGTCATGTCTTGACATTCTGAGATTTTTGACCCTCTTGACAAGCACATTTGCAAGCCACAGTCCTTCATGGTGGTGGTGGCGAAGTCTTCGGAGACCAGGAGAGACAGCATCCGGTGGCCCCAGGCCGCCGCCTGGCAAAGCCAATGACGGCTTTTTTCTCCCCAAAAGAAACCCTTCAGGGCCTCCTTGGGCGACCAATTGCGGCCCGCTGACTTCTCTGCTTGCCGCAGGTGGTTGCAAATGACCTGCGGACTGCGGGTGGGTCGACGGTCACTGCAATTGGATTCCGATGTTTCAAGTCTAGGATGGCCGATATCAAGCATGGGGATCGCAGGATTCAAACCATCCAGTCGCGAAAGATCCAGACCCAAAGCGACTATTTTGACCCAACTTACCGTGCCCATGCCCGGCCGCTGCCGCATTGGCACGCATGTCGCCCAGCAGCCGCCGCAGAGAAGTAATCTCACCCTCGAGCGCACGGACATCGGCGCGAACCTGACAGGGAAGACATAATATGCCACAGTGTACTATTCAATACTTTTTCTACCATAACAGACTATGATATACTATTTATCTATGGGTTGGCATGATTGGCAGCTCGGACTCTCTTGACGCTTGAGATGGATGTCCGCAGTGATGGAATCGAGTCGAAGGCAGGCCAGGCCTTCTCGATTGGGACCGCGGGCGTGTTGTCCTTCTCCTGCGCGAGTTTATGGTTTTAGCTTGCAGCCAGCTGCGCCTCTCACGGATCCTTGGTCCGCTGCATGTCCGAGCCGAAGTCGCTAGTGCTCTCGCCTGACGAAACAGTCAAGAATAATTCTTTGATGTTCTTCTCCATGATAAACCTCATGCCACGACCTCCCACTGCGGCACTCAGCTTGCCTCCGATGTTCGATGGGGCGACAGAATCCCCGCAGGCAGACTCGGGCCTCGGAGATGCACCGACCCGCCTCCGCTAGCCTCTGTTGCAACTCCTTGTTGCCTGCAAGCCCATTCCTGCAGCTACGTGGCTCCATCTGCATCGTTTTCTCCTCCAGCTGCTCCGAGGAAGCCTCAAGAGCTCTGAGCGCGAGCCAACGCGAGCCAAACCAGGCAGCCCCACTCACATAGCCAATCCAGTCTCCGCATGTCTCCACGCCCCACACCCCTTGACAGCTTTCACGACCTTTCAAGACGGTAAGGTGCAGGCAGTTGTGCTGAGCTTCTGCTGCCGCAGTTCCTTAGATTCCAAGTCTCAAGGACTGCTATGCAGCTGGCAGCCTTTCGCTTTTGACGGCGTAGTCAGAAAAAGCACGGAGGCCAACATGAGAAAAGCGTCGAGAGTTCGCACAAAGAGATCTTCGAAGCGCTCTGCCTTCGTTTTATCGATCATCTGCTGTACCTCGGGACAAGGACATGAATCGCGGCGACTGCACCCACAGCACGGCTATCTCTCGAATTCTCACTGTCTCTTGGCTCTGAAGGCTTTGAGAAAGTCGCATCCGCTTCATCCCCCACTTTCTGCATATCCTATCCTTCTCATGAACTGCTCACGCTATTGTCGTGCATGCTCTCTCTGCCCACAAGCCAAAGCCGCGACCATCAAAGCTGCTGGACATTCCAGATACCACAACCTCCGAGCCTCCGAGCTCCTGCACCGTTCTGCCCCACCCATCAAGGCTCAGGCGTCCTCGCGCACGGGCTTCAGTGCCTCCCAGATTGGGCAGTGGAGGCCGGACACACCCAGAACCCTAAACCGAGCCCGAGTGATCGGTCCGAAAAATCTTGCCCACTGGCCCACTGTGGTGCGTGCCTCGCGGCGGAGGCTTAGCAGCTGCGTCTCCGCATCCTGCAACTTTAGAGCTTTGGGAGTAGGATAACTCAATCGCTCTTAGGGCTTGGAAGGTGTCCGGTATGCACGGGCTTCTGATTGAAGGTTCGGCTCACGAGTTTCACCGTGATGCCGAGCTCCATGGTCTTGCTGCCAAGTGCGGCGAAACGACATTGGCAACTACATCAGATGACCTTGCCCTAAACAAACCAAGTCGAGGTTCTCTCCCCTGTATCCCAGGAATAAGGAATCCGAGACAAAAGGAGCTCAGGAGCGGAAACCGCCGGAAGCCCGACTCAAGAGAAGGAGCCAGCCCAGCCCATGTGGGTTTTTGGAAAAGGCCTATAGAACTCAGGATTCAATGAAGCCCGGGGGGACAGGCACAGACCCAGAGGGCCCTCGAAGTATTGGAAAAATGCTCCTCCACGGCTATGTCGGGTCTTTGGCCTCTGCGTGCCTTGACACCCATTACTGGCGAGGTCCTCGATGCGAATCTCCACGTAGCAGCAGTTTAACAACACCTTCAAAGGCGGGAACAGATCTGGAGAGATAACCTGAGCCTGAGCATCCTAAACTCTGTGCCCGATACATCTGGATGCTTGGACTTACTGCGCGGGGACGGCCGCAGGCCACGACATGAGAATGCTCAGCAACTAGCTGCAACCAACTACAGTCCATGCCATCGCACCTCCCGCATCCAGGGCTCCAAGGGCAGGTTTGCGTGCTCGAGACCTGTGCAGATGCAGTCTGCGGTGGACTCTTGCCTCTTACAGATAGCGTGAGGTCTAGGGACTGAGCGTCTTTGCATTCCCGATCCGCACACGCATGACTGGCGCAAATTTCTTCTGCGTGCTCTAAAGGAGGCTGCAGTGGCTCCACGACGAAGTTTGTATAAAGAAACTTAGAAAATGTAGTAGATTGGCAGTGAGCAGGAATCTGTAGGATGTAGAGAGATGGCCTTTGGCAGCCTTGGAAGCCGAGAAGAGTAGAGTGTCATGGAGAGCACCGTTACTCGATTTTAGAAGTCTTGGGAAATTTGGGAACCCTACAGCGCAGGTCTCCGATGCGACCACAAGTCTCGCATCGCTTTCTGACGGCTGTCTGTACTCAGGTCTCTCGGAGAAAGGCCCGGTTTGGGATGCTTCGAAACTCACCAGTCCTCTGGTATGGGCAGTAGTTGCCCAGCCCGGAAAATGCAGTAGCAAGATGTACCTTTCAGAACATCGCACAAAATTGTGATGGGAAGCTAGGGGGGCGTTCAGGCGACCCGGCATTTTTTCCGGATAGGAGCCATTCGTACTGCCGGGCTGCCTCCTGCTTCCCTTTTAAAATGAATGAAAAGCCACACCTCTATTAATTCATTGAGTCCTATGCATGACGAATTACGCGACCCACAGCATTGCTCCGAGAAGCAAAGCCAATGTAGCCGTCAGCATGCTGGTGCTGCTTGTCTCATCGTCGTGGTCATGGTCATGGTCATGTCCATGCCCGTGGCCCTCTGGTGCGCACGCCATGGAGGGCGGCAGCGCCAAGGCAGCCCGTGAGGCAGGAGTGAAAGACAACGACGTGCTCGACACCGCATGGTCTGCGTGGCCCCCAAGAACCTCTGCAAGGTCGACCGTGAGAAGACGTGGACTGACGCCACCTGCGACTATGTGCACCACTCCATGGCCGGCAACCATGGCAGTATCAGCACAGTCGATCGCGTTATCAAAAACGGAGGCAACAGCCATAGTTCCAGCAACATTGCCGTCCACTTCCGCCACTGACAGACTCCCATCCTTAGTCAACACAGCCACGTGTGTTCCGTCGTCTGCGACCGCTTGGTCCACGGCCCAGTGGCACACGTCGTTCTCCGATGTGCTGCGAGTTACTTCCAACAAGCTCCCAGCAGCCACCGACCCCGTGGGAGAAATCGGAGCCACATATCTTGGAGCCGGAAGTCCAAGCGGGTAGAGGTCAGCAAGGAAAAGGCTGCCTGGCGTGTATTTTCTCACGGTTCCAGACCGATACTCCAGCGATGCGTTCGGTTTGGGAAATTCCACTCTCTCCCATGATACAGGTTCACCGGCTTGACCTGTATACGTCCCGCGCAACCACCCACCTGATCCGCAGCCTGTGACAAAAGTATTGCCGATTTTTGCGGCGCCGTGAAATGCAGGACAGCTGGGCGACGACTCAGTGCCAATCTCTTGCAGCACAGCACCTGCGGCACTTGCCACAGCAAAGCTGCCTGGCAGCGATGACGTGCCATCCACCCTCATCTTCCTTGCATCCGTTGACACTGACATGACAAAGTGGTTGTCGCTGAGTGCATATGAAACTCCATGGTGAGCTCCATCAATGGGCACTTCGACTACAACTGGCGTGGTGGACAAACTGGACTCTTTCACGAACACTGCCGATGAGTTGTGCATGTCTTCGGATAGATCTGAAGACCAAACACCATCCATGAACACGTTCACATAACCAGCTGAGTATGTAGTATGCGTCGGTTTCCAACCCGTCAAGGTGTAGTCATGCGCTCTTGGGGTGCTTTTGACAACGTCCACATGATCACCGTGGTCATCCGCAGACAATCCTGGACTGTAGAAATGCACCGAGCCCTGCGCACTAGAACCACGATCAATCGCAATAACTGTAGCCATGTCTGTGTCCGTTGCCATCAGACGTGCTCCTGCTATTGGCGCGTCGAGGCTTGCCACAACTGCCCCATTGGCGTCATCAAGGTCAAGGACGTGAACCTTGGATGCATCCTTGTCGGCAACAAAGAGCCTCCCCTTCGTGCAAGTCTGGTGTGCTTTCACACTCAGGAAGCTTAGCCAAAGCAAAACGACTCTGGCCATGGCGGTGCTTGGAGAGTCAAAGCGGCTAAGGGCACCCGAGTGAAAGTCTGAAGGGGACTTGTTTGCTCGGAGCCACATCACCAAGAGCAGTATCCACCCCTCATCGCAGATGGGACGGCTAATGGCATGGAGGATGCGCCTCTTGCCCTAAAATGCCCTGAGGCAACAGCGCTGCAGAATGCGCTGGGCTCCGTTGCGGATCATGACACCTGGGCGATGCTGATAGAAATCGTCAGTCCTCACGAGGCCCCCGAGGGGCCCTTGCGTCCCTTGTCGTCTCCAAGATGTGTATGCCGTGTATTCTGTGCGCGTGCGGCAGGCCTAGCAAAGCTTATCCATCGAAGGCCCCCATGCTGCTATGCTAGATCCCACGCCTATCCCCATGAAAAGCCCGCAATCTGCAATCCGTGCACCGCCAGCTGGAAGGCCCCGGCGGACGCAATGCCGGAGCCGGCGACCATCCTGCAAACGCTCGGAGCTCCGGATGTGTCTGTTCATGTTGTGTTCGGGCTCGGCTGCTGCCCGCAAGGGACCCCGTGAGTTTCCCAAACCTGTCTGCAGAAACCCGGATCGGCAGCCTGCACCTTACCCAGTGTCTCACTCAGCTTTTCCAGGCGAACACGGCGATACTCTCGAAGGAGCACCTGCGCTGATGGAGCGTCGCCGCAACCACGTGAAGGCATGTTCCAACTCCAGCCGTCCCTTACAAATCGCTGCCCGAGTCCATGTCTTCTCGAAATGCTAAAGCGACATGACAATCCAGCGTGGCTCTGCAGTGAATTAAAGTTTCTGCTAGTTTTATCATTTGCAGCCGAGAACCTTGTAGTCTCGCAGCTCTATAAGCTCGCTCTGGAGACGTCTGTGGACCTTCATCATAAAATGCTAAACATGCCTCATGACTGTCAGCATTGTTGTTATCGCTATCTTCGTCTACATTGCCTTCAACAGAGGCAGCACCGTCACACTGTGTAGCAACTATCAGTTTGTCGCATGATAGATCATGAAAGCCCTATGTCCCATTGCGGGGCTACCCAGGTTTCGTACAAAACGAAGAGTCTTCCTTAGGTCGATGAAGTTTCACCGGTGGCTTTGCTGTGATCATCGTGAGCATGCTTCGTATAGCTAAAGCTTGCCATGCATACTAGGGCCGTTGGTACAATGTCGTCGTTTGTGTGTGTGTGTGTGTGTGGTTGTGTGTGGTTGTGTGTGGTTGTGTGTGGTTGTGTGTGGTTGTGTGTGGTTGTGTGTGGTTGTGTGTGGTTGTGTGTGTGTGAGTGTGTGAGTGTGAGTGTGAGTGTGAGTGTGAGTGTGAGTGTGAGTGTGAGTGTGAGTGTGAGTGTGAGTGTGAGTGTGTGTGTGTGTGTGTGCACCATTTTGGCCTCGCTGTTGCTACCCCAACATCAAATATGCTTCCGATACTTGCCACATCTTGTCAGACAGGCGTACTTATGACTATAGACCTTCGTATGAACCATCAGCATGAAGCACGCATCCATGCATCTATGAATCTATGAAGGTATGTGTCTGTATGCATATTGCGTACGCATGTAGGCAATGTATGGGTGAATGGATGGACGGATGGATGTATGGATGTATACATACATATATACATACATGCATGCATGCATGCATACATACATACATACATACATACATGGCCACATGCACGCATTGCATACCGATGCATACATCCATAGATCCGCAGATCCATCGATTCACAGATCCATACATCCACTTGTTTTATTTGGGTTAATTCGTTTTTTGGCTGCTTACATATATATATATATATCTATTTATATGCTTGTTTATTTAATCAACTTTCTCTATTTGTGCGTACATCGATGTCAATCGAACACAACCTTCTCCATTGCGATAAATTTCAGCAACACTCCTGCACTGTGGCTATGTTGTGATGATGGTGACTGCCCTGTCGGTCATGCTACATGTACTTGGATGAAGTAACTTGGCCATATTTATGTGCATGTCAACTTTCAAATTTGATGCCAATTTGATGCCAAAAGCTTTCCCCATCTTTAGACGTTTTAGTTCTCTACGGTTGACTCAGAGGCTGAAGCGAGGAACTGATTCTGAAGTTGTGTCTGCGCACTCGGATTTCACACATCTCGCACAAAGCGTCTGAGATGAGACATGGCGACTCGGGCCCGAGGAAACCGGCCTCTTCATCACTAGGTCACAAGGTTTCTGCAGATGCCAGGTGGTCTCCCTCTCGTGCTTGTCTGAGGCCCGAGCTTTTGCAAACAATGCCTGCACTTCATCACGCTGCTTCTGGTACTCCTCCTCCCTCTTGTCCTCGCCAGCATGCTCAAACAAGTTAACACCCTCCGACCCCGAGTATTGATATGGATCTTAGTCAGACATCCGCACAAATAAGAGGTTACAGTTGCAGCCTCGCACCTCCTGAATGCGCCTCTGCGAGCGCTCGAAGGCGTTCATGGCCTTCGGCGAGGCTCACAGTAGGGCGGAGGGAGCTGCAAAGGTCGCAGGACCCTCGACACTTCGAAACCAGGACTGAGCCTGGGTTTTGCCTTGCTAACTGGGCAGTGCACAACTTAGACTGTCGACGCCAGCGTTCGCGTGTTTGTGCGTGTGTGACAAGCGGAGATTCTGCAAAAACCTGTTGAGGCTGGTTGCAGGCCTACCCGAAGGGCCGGCAAAAACTGGCAGGCTGGGTCTCAATTGGCGGATAGCAGCACCTCGTCCGGCCTCAAACCCCTGAAACACGTCAAGCCCTCGACTCCCAAAACCGGAACTTGCCAGCTTCATCACCCTGCGCCACCTGCAGCTCCAGATCCGTCGCGCGGCCGAGGTTCAAGGCATTTACATACTCCAGCCTCAGGGCGCAGGCTGCCAAGCACTCTACTTCGGGGCGCCAGGCAACAAGATGGGCCGCCCGTCAGCTCCGTTCCTCCGGATCCCATCCAAGGCCCGTGCTTTCTCTCTGCCTCCTTGGCCTCTAGCTGGAGCTCCTGGTAGAACTGTAAGAAAATGAAATAAAATGATGCTGTAGGCTGTAGCGTTCGAAATGCCCAGGATGTGTGCAGAGTAATACTAGCGAACGAAAGCATAAGTTGCGAACATGCAGGTGCAGTGGTAAGGCTTTCAATAATTTGGCGTTTGGGTGCTTCACTGCAGGATAGGGCGTTGGATGGAGGTTAAGTTGAAGACTTTGAACGTCACGGGACGTGAAGTGCAGGAACATCGAACAAAGTGAGAGTCCTCTAGCGAGTGAAAAGAAGCTCCAAAGCATTTGACCTAGATCCAGATAGCCATGGGTTATGCAAGGGCTTGGAGTGTGACGAGAGCCTTCGTAGAGCATGGACAGGGGCTTGTGCTGTGGCACATTATCTACGTCGCCCAACAGCGGATAACGTTCAGTTGCGATGCACCTCCGAGCGCATCTTGAGCTCGCCGCCCCGCTTCTCCAGTGACTTGGTGCACCGTCACGGGCGCCGATATGCAACTGCACAGCTGATCAGAGAGTTACCCGTATGCAGCAGTCTTCACTTCCGTGGTAAGTGCGGCACTACGAGCAGGGCATCAAGATGAGCGTCTTGGATGGTGCCTAGGATCTCCGTCAAGATCCATCTAAACAGGAGGCCGATCCGCAGACCTACTGACATGCAACGGCAGCCAAGGGCGTGCCAAACCCTCGCCCGAATCATCACAGACAGGAAGGAAGTTCCTCTATCGGTCGTCGCTAAACAAAGGAAGAAAGCGGCTCTTGCTGGCTCTTAAAGACACGAGGATCTCGGGCACAACGCCATGAGCCGCAACCATCCGCAACCCCAAGGCTGCTCCGTGACCGGCCGTGTCTGGTTCCAGAATCAAGAATGAGAGACTTGATGATAATGATGGTGATGATAAGGAGCATAATGGCGGCTGTAATACGGAAAAATCGAAGTGAGGCCGTTCGATTAAGAAGATAATTTAACTCGTTTTGTGCATTTGCCACCATCATCACTCCTATCAACAGCAGCAGCAGGAGCATGGCCCTCATCCGTGTCAAGACGGCGAGTGCCAAAACTCGTGCTGTTGCTCAGCTGGTCACCTTGATGCTATCATCGTGTGCATGCGAGTATGTATATAGTTTCAGCTTGTGATGAAAGACATGAAGAACAAAACACCAACGACAGTCGATGACCCATGTTCATGACTCAGAGCCATCGCACCAACAGTCGTATAGGCAGGGGGACAGGATACGTCTTCGCAGCTGGTGGGCACCAGAATTTCCAATCGGAAGGAAACCGCTCTCAAGAGCCTAACTGAACACACAGGTGGAAGACGCTCCCCGAGACTCGCACTGTCGTCATCAGCGTACATGTTGGTCCAGTAGTTCTGAATGAAGTCGCCTGCACTTTAGCCGCAGCTATATAAAGTCTTCGACTGAACCCGCACCGAAAGCACGAAACAGCCTACTCTCAATCCATGCCCCAGGGAGAACAGAAACTGGCCACTGCTGCTACCTTGACAAGCACAATTGCTACAATAGATCCGCCAAGGTCACAAGCCCTTCCTCGCTGACCCCGCATTGCTGTGGCTCCACTTATTTGCCCGAGCACGGCTTCCATAGCGAGATTATTCGAAACCCTTGCTTGGGAAGTTCGGGAGCCTGCGGAAGCCTGAAGTTTGTCATGATATTGCTATTGCTGCAACGACCACGACTGCGACCGCGAGGACTCATGACTCATGGGATTTAAACGGCTCTTGGCCCAACAATATTTTCCAAGATATAACACGGCCAAAGATCCGAACGTCACGCAAGGATCTGGGGCTGTGAGTGCCGTAGATCTCGAGACATCCCGAGAACTTTGCAGCTAAGGCTCGATGCTTCTCTGCCTCCAGCCGTGCGGCCCGACTCTTCAGGCCTCAGTCTTGACTTGGTTGATGGCACTACAGGAGTCTATTCTGAGTCTATCACATAATTTCATGCCTGCCAAGGTTGATAAACATGACATGGAGGCAGGTATCGACACTGCGCGTGCGTGCATGCGTGCGTGGGTGAGCGGGCGTGCGGGCGTGTGCATGTGCGCGTGGCAGAGCGTGAGTGTGAGTGTGCACGTGAGTGAGAGTGAGTGAGTGAGTGAATGAGTGAGTGAGTGAGTCAGAGAGTGAGTGAGTGTGAGTGAGTGCGTGCGTGCGTGC